CGCTGTTGAGATGACTGTTGAGAGATGAGATGGGATTAAAGTTATTCAAGGAGAAAGGGCGGGCAGCAGAGGCAAGGCCATTTGGGGGCACCTGCAAGTTTTTCTTGAACAAAACATGAAGTAGGGGGGCTTTTAAATTTGTGACGCATTCACAGTTGGTCAAGCTGTATAATGACCTGGCTGCCTGCCAAAAGAAAATTTGTGCATGCATACTTCCCAGCCTGCTGTAAGATTTAGTCAGCCGGCAAGTGTTCATTGTGTGCCCATTATGTGCAAACGCGTAATAGGCACATGGGGAAGCAAGGGAAGAAGAAAGCAGGCAGGAACTCAAATATTGTGAAAAACGGAGTGTTTGGTGTTGCATGCCAGTTACAGTTGTGGTTTCATCTGACTCACCCTGAGAGGCAGACAATGCAGCTATTGTTGTGGCCAGCGCTGCGGTCTCCTAGTGCCCTTGGTGCCCTTGTGCTGTGGGTCTCAGCAGCCATTTGCATGAAGCCACTTAATTGTGATCACAGCTTTGATAGGAACAGTTTTACTTTATTACCTCAATAAAGAATCATCATTGCATCCAAAGGCAAATTGGAAATCTTACTGTTGCTGCTGGTCTTCTAGCAAATCCGTCTGGGGTGGAAAAGTGTAACTCATTGTAAGGGTCAGGGGCCAACAAAAGACAGGGTAACAAGAAAAAAGCATAACAAATTTATGTAATCAAAGTAAGTTTGTTTGTGTTAGAGACGGGGTCTGCTATGTTGCCCAGGCTGGTCTTGAACTCCCGGCCTCAAGAGATCCTGCCATCTCAAGTAGCTGGGATTATAGGCGTGAGCCACTGCACCTGGCTATTTAATCAGAGTTTTATGTTAACAAGGGAGGCTTCAGAAATGAAGTTCTAAAGGCCCAGGGGAAATGTTTGTTTTTATGCTTAGGTTTGATGAAGAATGGGCAGCCGCGTAGAAATGTGACTGGAGAAAAGGCTGTGATCTAATGGTAACAGACTCAAGGGGAAACCCAGCAAGGCCCGTCTGCTCAGATTCCTCGGGGCTTTCAGTGTAGCGTTTCTTCCTTCTGGGTACAGGGCAGGACCCCCCGGGAATACGTGTTTTCAAGGGAGAAGGGAGAGAGTGACCTTTCTAGGTTTTATGGCCTGCTTTGGGGCAGAGTGGTTCTAGTTTCTATCATGCGCCTTGGGGAAGAGGAATTCTGGTTTCTACCACTTGGTTTGAGGGAGCAAGGGGTGAGGGACAGGAGGAGGGGAGAAGGTCAGAGAGCCCTCGCTTCTGAGGCCTTTCCAGTTCTAAGTACTCAACACACCAAGGTGCCATACTTTGAAGTATTGTGTTCTAAGCCCCAATAGCTGCAAGAAGACACAGAGGAGAGACATAACTACACAGCCTGCGAGTGCCGGTTACAAGTCTCCAGGTAGTTTCCACTTCTGTGGTATCCACAGAAAGCTGAGAACTCCCCTACGGCACTTTTTGGGGAAACAGGGAGGTAAAGGGCCATGAACAAAATGGCGCACATGCTCAATGTCCTTGCTAAGGGCAGACTGACTTTGGGGCTGGGTATTTTCTGAAAAAGCACTAATCGTGAATCCTCATCCTGCCCTTCCTGTGAGCACTGGCGGCTTCTCCTCAGTCCACCCGGCTGCCCTGGACTCTCACATTCATGTGTAGACAAACACAAACCCCACCTCCTGCCATCGCCTCAAACCACATTCCAATCTCTTGCTTCCTGCTCACTGCCGGATTTCTTAGAAAACTTTATCTCTACTCTCTGGCATCCATAGGATAACATGTTGCTTCTGTCATCATCGTTAACTAAAACGCAGGAAAAATGCCCACTCTTTATGTTTCTTTCCATTGTTATTACATGTAAAATAGCATGAGGAAAGTTTCTGACAATGGCAGTGTTGAGGGGTCACTGAGCCGCATCCTGGAAGCATTAGGGGCTGCCCTGAAACACTGAATCAGAATTCAGAACCCCAAATGGGCAGCCTAGGGGTTGGCGTGGAGCTCCATCAGTGACGAGCATCGATAACAAAGTGAGTGGGGAAGCTAGTTTGGGGCAGTACCCCTTAAAACATAATGGGAGACAGAAACAAAATTCAGACAACTGAGACCGTAGCTTAATTCAGCAGCATATAACCCCATGTTGGTAAGCCTTGATGCGGGACTAGGATCATAGACTGTCCTACTGCAGAATTTTAACCTTTAAAAGACAAATTGCCTAGAGATAGATAGATAGAAGGAATAGAGAAAGAGATACATATTGTAAGATATGAAATTTGAAGTGAAATGTTTATCAATTTATACTGAAATGATTTTATCATGTCTCTGAAGAATTACACTCAATGTTAGTGTCCGGGTCTGAAGAGGAACACTGAGTAACTGGGCTGGCTTCCAGGCCTTTTGCACACATGACCACTTGTCGGTGTGCTCTGAGCTCTGGCTAAAGGAACTAGGCAAATGATCTAAGTCCAGAAAGTTCTGTCCCCTGCACTAGAAGAAGCTGGTTTTGTGACATGCCTCCCCTTTAACCCACCACCTCAAGCTCCCTCTAAAATAGGATAATAAGAGCATCAAAGGAAGGGACTCTTGTATCTCAAAGAATCTTCTTGTAGGGAAACAGTATTTTCCATCTAATGAGAAGGGAAACAAGGAAGGGGAAGGAGAAGCACAAGGTGGCGAAGACAGTCGTCTGCTACTCAAGCAGTTCCTGCCTTGATTTCCCTACATCCGGAGCTCAGTGCCCCCAGGTGCCCTCTGTCACCCTAAAGGCCCTCACAAAATCTGCCTCCCAAGTGTTTCATGCTCCAAAGTCACTTTTTTCTCCAATCAGAATGTCAGAGATCCATGACTAATTGCCAAAACACACACAATAATCAACAATAATCAACACATCCGACATAGATAAAATGAACAATGATAAGTAGAGATAAGAACAATATAATATCCTTATCCAAATGTGAGCATTTGACCTAATTCTCCTTGCGGTAGAGGAATCTATTGTTGAGGATTTTAAGATTGTATGGGAAAAAGAACGTGTGGAAACTGAGGACATGAATGAACGTATGAGAGGGTACTTTAAAGTAATTTTGCATGTAAGAAAAATAAAACAGTACATAATACATAATAGATAATAGAGATATCACCAGAATGTCTTGGATGCAAGGACCGCATCTGTTTTATTTCTCTGCGTTCTCTCTCTATATATATTCCCCTGTACCTCGGAAAGTGCCTGTCATATAATGGTGCCAAGTATTTGTTTTCTGATTAGGTAGATAAATTGCTGATTTAATTTCAATTTAACGGTTTTTGTTCAAACTGCTCATAAATTCACTTTGTTTCTTGTGGATTATTGCATTTTTATTTGCTCCTTCATCTAAATAGTCAATGCTTTTTTTTTTGTTTGTTTTTTGGGGTCTCCCACTTCCCCTATCCCACCAAGATCCCAGAGATGGAAAATACCTTGGATGTTCATGATGGAAAGGGATTTAGATCACCTTTATTTGACCTGCTTCTTTCACTAGAGCTGAATAGCATTTTGGAACTGCACCCTGCCCCTACTCAAGGCAGGGTTAACTAGCCTTGGCTCAGCCTGTGATAATTGTGTGCCCAAGCACACATTTCTAGTCCATTTGATTTACACTTCAGCTTTGCTTCTCCAGCACCTGTGCTGCTGCCTCCTCTTTTAAATGTTGGAGCTCTCCAGGTCCCAGTGCTAATATTGTTTCTCCTTTTCCTCTAGTCTATCTTCCTAAGTGATCCCATCCATTCCCATGGTTTTAAATACCAAGCACATGCTGCTAACTCCCAATACCTATCTCCAGCCTTGACCTACCTCTTAAATTCCAAATCTGTATGCCCACTTGACATTTCCACCTGGATGTCTTACAGATAAAACAAATAAAACATTTTACTAAGTCCAAAATGGAACTTCTGATTCCCCTCCTCCTCTTATTGCCACCCACAGCCAGTTCTATTTCTAATCTTCCCTGTGTCGGTACATTGCACTGCAGTGTATAGTACTGTATACGGTGTACTGACAATTGTAAAATCACCCACCCAGCTGCTCAAGCCACAGAGCCATCTTGGTTCTGACCCACTTCTTACCCTCCACCTCCAATTCATGAGCAAGTGTAGTCATTTTTAGCCCCAAAATAAGTCATGGATCTGCCTACTTGTCTCCAGTTCCACTCTTAATACCCAAGTCTAAGCTATAATACCATTATCTCCTGTCCAAACCAAGGCAACAAACTCCTCCCTGTACCAGTCTTGTGCCTTGAAGAATTAGTCTCTACACAGCAGCAACAGTGGCCTTTACAAACAAGGAAAGCGCCAATGTCCTCTACACCATTCAATAGGTGTCGACCCCATTATACGAGGAACACAATGAAAAGTCATCCCTGTGCCCTGTCAGGCTCTACATGAAGGGCCCCCTCCGTACCTATCCAAATTCACTTCGTGCCAACTGTGCTTCAATTGTGGCCAAGGAGACATGAGGGCAAATTTCCTGGGACTCTGTGGATGGCCCAGCCTATCCAGCAGGGAGCCTGTAGCACTTCTAGAAGCTCCTCCCCTCTCTCTCCTGCCCTCAGAGGTTTGCCTTTAGCAAACTGGAATGGGAACAGAAGGGCCAGGCTCTCTGAATTTCTGATCCGATGCCAAGGCAGAAACTAAACAGTACGCTTGTTTGTTCAGTCTTTATCGTCTGTCATCTGCTAGTCTCGTGTGGCCATCTGATCTAAACTAAAAACATCAACATCGTAAAGAGAAGGAAACTGGACTTCCTAAATGTCTCCATGCCTCTCCTCCCAACAAAGAAAGAAAAATGATTTTTCCGTCTGTATCTAGTCATTTTTTGGATAGCGTGTTATTTTATGCTAGTTGTGCGTGTGTTTAAACTCAGTGCTCTGAAAGACACATGAGGTGAAGTCTCTGTTTGGATATAAAATGTGTAAAATTTCAGTTCCCCTCTCTGTCTCCCCTCTCTGTTTATAGGCTGCGGCATGTTCACCTTCCTGTCGTCTGTCACTGCTGCTGTCAGTGGCCTCCTGGTGGGTTATGAACTTGGGCTCATCTCTGGGGCTCTTCTTCAGATCAAAGCCCTATTGGCCCTGACCTGCCATGAGCAGGAGATGGTGGTAAGCTCCCTCCTCATTGGGGCCTTCTTGGCGTCACTCACCGGAGGGGTCCTGATAGACAGGTATGGACGAAGGACAACGATCATCTTGTCATCCTGCCTGCTGGGACTCGGGAGTCTGGTGCTGATACTCAGCCTATCTTACACGCTTCTCATAGTGGGACGCATGGCCATCGGGGTTTCCATCTCACTCTCTTCCATCGCCACCTGTGTTTACATCGCAGAGATTGCTCCTCAGCACAGAAGAGGCCTTCTGGTGTCCCTGAATGAGCTGATGATTGTCATCGGCATTCTTTTTGCCTACATTTCAAATTATGCCTTTGCCAACGTTTCCCATGGCTGGAAGTATATGTTCGGTCTCGTTATTCCCTTGGGAGTTTTGCAGGCTGCTGCGATGTACTTTCTCCCCCCAAGCCCTCGGTTTCTGGTGATGAAAGGACAAGAGGAAGCTGCCAGCAAGGTTCTTGGAAGGTTAAGAGCCATCTCAGACACCACCGAGGAACTCACTTTGATAAAGTCCTCCCTGAAAGATGAATATCAGTATAGTTTTTGGGATCTGTTTCGTTCAAAGGACAACATGAGGACCCGAATAATGATAGGCCTGACACTGGTATTTTTTGTCCAAACCACTGGCCAGCCAAACATACTATCCTATGCATCGACTGTCTTGAAGTCCGTCGGCTTTCAAAGCAATGAGGCGGCCAGCCTCGCCTCCACTGGGGTTGGAGTCGTCAAGGTCATCAGCACCGTCCCAGCCACTCTTTTTGTCGACCACTTCGGCAGCAAAACCTTCCTCTGCGTCGGCTCCTCGGTGATGGCAGCTTCGTTGGTGACCATGGGCATCGTGAATCTCAACATCCACATGAACTTCTCCCACATCTGCAGCAGCCATAGTCCTGTCAACCAGTCCTTGGATGAGTATGCGTTCTATGGACCCGGAAACCTGCCGGCCAGCAACAACACTCTGAGAGAGCACTTCAAAGGCATCAGTTCCCAGAGCAGAAGCTCACTCATGCCCATGAGAACTGGTGTGGATAGGGGAGGGGAGACGACCTCAGCATCCTTACTCAATGCTGGACTAAGCCACACCGAATACCAGATAGTCACAGACCCTACGGATGTCCCAGCTTTTTTGAAATGGCTGTCCTTAGCTGGCTTGCTTGTTTATGTTGCTGCTTTTTCAATTGGTCTAGGACCAAGTAAGTACTTTATTCTTTATTCCTTCCCTCTCTCCCCTTATGAATGTTAATGCAGTGCTTTTGACCACTCGGAGCATCCTATTGCCATAGTACCTAGCACATGTAAGTACTAGAAGCAAGATGAGGATAATATTGGTGGTCAGAAAGTATTCTTGGCTTATATTCGCTTCTGAAAAGTGCAGGGCTAGTATTCAACTGAAAGATAAGTTTCCATTTATCTGTCACGTGAGGATACTTTAACTCCAATTGATAGGGGGTGAACCAGATCTGAAAAGATATTTATTTCCCAAGGGAATGACATTGTTTTATGAACGTAAAGTTTACTGGGGTAACATTTTCCTCCATTTCATCCCTGAGTTTCTTTGTAGGTGGAAGAAAAAAAACCAAATCAAGTGTTTAGATTTTCTTAAAGCCACAATGGTGGATGCGTTCCAGTAATAGAGAAGGAGGGGATTATGAGTTGAGAAGGAGGATCCATTATTTTTTTGAGTACATTTTATTCACAAGAGTAACCTCTCAGGGCACTTTATTCTCACCCATTATACAGGAGAATGGGAGTCCAGTTCCTCCCATTCAACACAAGGCAAATAATTCACTGGGAGATAGCTGCAAAGTTGTTTTACATTTTATATAGCCAGTCTGCTCCAATGACAAAGTTTAAATGGTCCTCATGAGCCACCTCTCTCAGGGATGGATTTGCTAGAATAAGTAGTTGATTGCAGGGCTCTAGTCTTTTAGCCTCACACCCACAGTCTCAACCTCTCGGTAGGGAGGTTGTGAAGGGTCTTTTGTACACTGGAAAACAAAGGGCTTAAAAATCAAAGGTGGTCTCTCTCTACCACCCCTGCCTCCTACTCCCATTCTCCTGTCTCTCTTTTATTCTTCTCCCTCCCTTTCCATTTCTTTCTCAGTCCCTCCCTTTCTATTACAGAGTTGGTTTTGAAACTTGTTGGCAAGGATCAAGAAGGCAAACAAACTGGCTCAAATAAAGGGAAGCATTGGAGGCTCAGGGCCAATAAGAAGACATAGGCTGTGTTGAAGAAGGAATTTTATGGGAAAATGTAGAGCTCTGGTGCCAGGTACCTAGAGTTTCTAAAAGAAGGCTATGTGAGAGCTTGCTTTAGCCAACCATTGCTAACTCATTCACTTGTCATGCAGGTGATATGCATTGCATGACTAATGTTTTAATAACCAAGAACTATACTAAATGCTGGGGAAACAGTAATGAGCAAGATGGACATTGTCTCTGTCTTCAAGGAGATTGTAGTTGAATGGACTGAGCTGCACTCTCTGTGTCTCCCTCTTTCTGGTCGACAACCAGCAGGTTTGGTCTCCTTCATCTCAGCTCATTAACGACCAGACTTGCACATGGCTAATGTGGCCCTTCCTGCTCCAACTTTGCCTCCTCATTTTGCAGCTTCTATTCCCGCTTTGAAGTGAGCTCAGTTCTTAGATATTGACTTGTTTAAATTCCAGAGAGAGAGAGAGAGGAGTTGGCTGGGGGGGAACTAATCAACTCTGCTCTTTGCTCTGCCCAGTCAGGCGTAGAAGTTCAGGCCTAATCAGCCATGGCAAGATTGGGTTACATGGTCCAAAACACGGATGACCAAAAGGGGGCCTTCCTCTGCGCAATGAGTAGACATATTTCCCCATTTAAGACTGTGCATGGGCAGGGAGTAAACATCACAATACCACTGGCCTCTGATCACTCTGACTCATTCCTGAACCTTGGTCCTGCTTTTTAAGATTTAACAATGATAAATATCACTAATAAACAGTTTCCTGGAAACAGGTTTCTACCATTATTTCAGGATTCAATTACCTTTGTTGTGTACCTGGGAGATACTTACGTGGCTACTCTGATATTTTGAGCTAATGAAATTTGAGCTAGCATCTTATTTACATTTTTATTTCAAGAAGCTCTCCAAAGTCTATCAGAAGGGCAAGATATGGGTGCTATCTTGTACCAAGGAACAACTTGACCTTGCCTGTGAAACATTTCTGTATTAATAAGTATGATAAGTTGTCCTCATTTGCCAGGCTGTAGGTGGTAGTTATTATTCCATTGCTTTCTTTTGACAACATCTTTTTTCCATATATATTCATCATAAAACTAAAAATATTTCCTTTTTCCATCAATTTTCTTAATCCAATCTTTTGAAATATCAAGAACTAACTAAGAATCTAAGAAAAGGTTAGCAAAAAGAAAAGGACGTCCTCTTCCTTTTAATTCAGAGAACCTCTCAGGTGGAAAGAGTTTACGTCGTGGCACGTACTATCATACGATGACATTGATGTTAAGCTTCCTAAACCAACGTATTCATGGTTAGAGGCCATTCAACCTCCAAACCTTCTCTCTTTAGATTTCGGGTAATTTTGAAAAATACGGCAAATCCTTCAGTCTCTAACATATCATTTGGTATCTTAATCTATTAGAGCAAGAATTCCCATTTTTGGGAAACCCAATTTGATTTTGGAAGAAATTACTGGACACTGATTGTTATTTACCTTCTAGAAGTTATCTTACACAGCATTCTACACTAACTCTTTTAAAGTATAATTTAAGCTTTAGATTCCACTAATATTTATTGACACCTATTATGGTAAATACTGTGGTAGGCAGTTTTTACATACTTTGGAGTACTTAATTTTACCTTCAATACAGGCCTGTGAAGAAAGGGTATTCCCCGAATTTTACAAATGAAGACAATGAATCTCAGAGCGTTTAAGTGACTTGCTGAAATAGATGAAAACATCTCTTGTTTCTGAAATTCAGTGTTAGTCCCTAGTCCAAGACAAGGGTAGGTAGTCCAGTGTTGGATTTGATGGTAAATGTTAATTATTTTTAATTCAGTCCTCTCATTGAAGATACATCAGAAGTAAGAATGAATAGAAGTACTGTGTCATTATCCATCCATCAGGCTGTTAAATGAACCACTCTACATTTTTAGCAAGATAGAGACATAGCCTCTCTTTTTCTGAAGCTCTGCTTGGTAAGTGAGCATGTACTTTTTATAAGGCTGAGCTCCACGGTAAATAGAAGATGGAAGTGATAAGAAGAGAGTTTCTGATGTGCATGCACTTAAATAACTGAACTTGATTAAGAAAATATTGAATGTGTACAATGGTTAGAAGTCAAGTTCAGCTGAAATAACAAATACCAAAATAACAATGGCTTAAAAAAGTTACGAGTTTCTTTCTCTCTTTCTTAACAGCTGGAGTTGGGTAGTTCTGGGCACTCAGGGTCAGGCACCTGAAACCTATAATTTCCCCAGACCTTATTTTAGTCAGTACTTTAATATTGGTTTCTAGTCTATCATGATGACTATTTTAAAAAATTAAGATGCATTTTAAAATTTTATTATCCATTACTGATAGCCAATGGTCCCTTAAGAATAAGTAAAATGTACAAAATGCAGTCAGTTAAAGGGAGATCAGGTATAGAAAGGCCTTGGGTAATCTGCAGGCGGCATGAGCAGTTGCACCAGGGAAGCAGAACCACCATGAGTGATATGGCCGTGGAATTTCTTACAGGGACTGGACATCACACAATTGTGACAGAAGCTGAGAAAGCAAAGGGGTGGAAGAGGATGATTGGGGACGGGAGGAAGAAAAATTTAATAATCAGGGCGACAAAGGGAAGCTGGCGAAAAAGTCTATGGACGGCTGCTCTCCCTGCATTTGGTTATGGCCTAACGCCCCTGCAGGGCAGGAGGGAAGGCTAGACTCCAAGCAGAGGGAAGCAAAGACAACGGAACCCGCTAGGACAAACTGGTCTCCATGAGAAGAAACCGCAGCGCCCAGGCCTCTCAACCGCGTCACTCCAGTGAGGCAGGCCACCGGCAGAAAGGATGCTGCCTTCTCCAAGAGCTCTGACAAGGTGCCCGGCCTAGTACTTAGGGAAGTTGTAGGAGATCTGGCCAAACTTGCTCAGCCCCAGCCCAACAAGGGGAACCGGTGATGAACAAGGAGGTGCACAAGCTACCATGGTGGCTAAGGCCCTGCGCCAACCCCTCAAGCATAGAGCTGGTGTCACTTTGGCCTGCAGATTTTTCTTCCTGCCAACCCTAATCCAGAACTGCAGGGGGAAGGAGATTCTGGGAAATGTAGTTCCAGCTTAGCTAAGTGACACAGTACAAACCACCACAGTAATCAGCTCCGGACTAAGAGAGAATAAAATGAATGTGGAAAAAAATATTCAAAGGGTCAAGGGCTCTGAATTCAGTCTTCAATTGCTGTGATAGGCTTTTTAAAAGCAATTAAAATGCTGATTATTAAAATATATAATTAGCTTCCTTATCATCTACTTCTATAAAAAGAGCTGAGGTCATTTCATAAATGTCTCCTGGACTTTTGTTTCTTTAGCTATAAAACTGAAAAACACTCTTTTGCTAATGCATTAGAAAGGCTTTCATGTTTGTTTTCTCAGGAACTTTAAGTATCTGCCTCGAGCTGATGACTGTCACTTATCTCCAGTTCTATCTTCTCACATGAGTTCTGGTTCCTTTTTTTCCCAATGAGCACTAGACTTTTCCACTTTGATTCTTCACTGCCAGCCAAATACAACAAGCCCAGTGCTGAATTCTTTTTCCCCATTATTTCAAGGTCCTTTACCACTTCTCTCCCTTTTCTAGGTGGTGCTCACTCCTCTGGCCACTCAGGGCTGATGCCCTTGGGCTTTTCTCCAATTCAGTCAATCACCAAATGCTCTTGGATTTTCTCTCACAGATGGTTCCTGTGCTTATTGTTGCCTTCCTATTTCTGCCTTCCCAGTCTACCTACCCCTTGTGATCTCATTCCTACATTACTGGGAGACCCGTCCGGGTGGCCTTTGTCCTTTCCACATCCTCTGATGCCCCTCCGTCCTCCAGACTGGTGTCAACCTAAAATGAGTGGCAGAGACTGACTCTCCAAAGCAAAGAGTTCAGTCGGGAATACTGGGGAGTTGCAAACCCAGGATATGTGGGCTATGACAGTTCATTGGCATGTCTAGGGGGTTG